ATTCTCTATCCAACGATGCCAAAACGAATTCTCTGGCTCGAATGGTTCTTGAGAAACTTCGAAAAAAACAGCGTCATGTTCAAGTGGATTTTGCAACTCAAAAAAAAACCACGCAAACCTAAAACTTCTGACGGAAAACATGAAATTTTGCAATAATCTTGCGCCACCCATGCACCAAACGACGATCAGTTGAAAATGTTCTTCAGATCAGCTCGCAATGGGACCAAGAGCAAGTGCTGCCTGGATCAGCGGCCACTTTGACCATCAATGCAACTGCGCCAGCGTTATGCGCTGTGTCAGCTACGGATAAATCAGCGAAACTGATGGCAGCCAACAGCAATCGCCAGGTCGATTTGCAGCGCCTTTTGAGGACGTTTGCCCCAAATCAGCAGGACGGGGACTCGGACCGCAGCAGTTGTCTGTTGAATGGCAAAAAGCCCATCAGTAAGTGCTGCGCGCTCGACTGCTTGAAGCCACTTGGATTGGGGACTTTGCAGGTTTGAGCACTTGGATGTATGCGGAAAGTCTGCAGGAGAGAGGGAGGAAAAAGCGGCAATATTCAAGCAGAGCTCCTTTGGTGGCAGAGGATTATGATGCCTCTGACGTGTTTTCGGTGAGTGCGCGCTAATCAAGCAAGTGAGCCCTCTTTGAGGGCTTTTTCGCTGATTTCTAGGCATTTGGAACGACCACAATCACCAACTTCCAAACGGTGACCAAATCGTGCTACACCGGTGAGTCTTGGGGGGGTTGAGGGCGATATTTACTTATAGCTCGGCTCTTTCAGACCAAATCTTCCGGAACTTTCGGCCGGGTGAGTGCATAGCGTCAATCCCATCAGATCCCTAAAACTTCTAGGCTTCCAGCCTCCTTCGTCGGCAACGATTACGAAACTGCCCATGAAGAAGGCTCGCAGGCCAGCATCCGCTCGTTCTTCCCGGAAAACTGGCTTTGGGAGCTGGTTCCGGTTGGGACGTAAGTACCCACATAGCAAAATGATGTTCACAGAATATACCTGGAAC